AATGAGAGAAGCTTTCACTCTTTCTTCTTTGAAGAGGCCTTAATAGCAGCTGCACGTTCTTCAGCAGCCTTCTTTTCCTCCTCGGTCTCTTCACCAAACAGATCCACATCATCATCATCCTCATCAGCAGCAGCCTAAGAACCACCATATAAATCCCAAGAATAAGCAACAACCCATGAAGTTTTTACAAAGCAAACTAAAATAAATTCCTATCTAAAACAAAGTTTAAATATCCCACATTTACAAGAACAATAAATCACAAGAAAAATAAAAACATGCCTTTGTGTCAGCAGATGGAGGAGTGGCAATTGCCTCCTTCGTGATGGGAGCAGATCCCTCAACAACAACTCCACACCCTTCAGCTTCGACACCACTGCAACAGAAACCAATAGCAAAACAATTTCACTACCATCTCCATACATATAATAACTCAAATATCCGAATCTCATCGATATTAAATTTACACAAACAAAAGAATAAAGTAAGAACTTACGAGATCCTCAAGAGCGCATCAATATGAGTATACCACCGAGACACATTCACGTATTCAGCTGCTGGTGCCCTTGAAAATGCTGCGAAAACAGTGAGATCGTCCTTTGAGGCTTGGTATCTGAGAAACAAAAAATAAATAAAATTACGAAATCAGTTATTAAAGAGAAATCCTTTGTCCCAGCATGGATAGCCTGCTTTCGACCGGGCCGAAACCACGAAAAGATATAGAGAGAGAAAGAGAGAGGTCCCTGTTTAAAATAAAACGTACCCTGAGATGTAACTGCGGGAAAGGAGATAGTCATCGACCTTCTTGAGGCCAGCGGCTGAGGTGAGATCGTAGAAAGCGACTGCCATTACTTAAAAGCTGAAATGAGAAATAGAAATAGATTACTAGTTAGCTTCGAATCTGGTAAGAGGAATCGCGAAGATATGAATATGAGAATCTGTTGGGTTCGTTCGTACTTTAGAAGAGAGAAGCGGCAACGGCAAGGAGGGCAAGAGGTAGGAGAAGCGGCAACGGCAAGGAGGGAAAGAGGTAGGCGCAGCTTAAGGTCTAGGGTTTTTTTTCTGGGGACTTAGAACGAGATCTTATATAAGGGAGAGGTGATCTGGTGTTTTGTGAGCACGGGTCATTAGACCTTTATTCTGGTTATTCAACCCAAACCGGTCCGGCAGGTCCACACCGTCTTGAAGGTATGAATTTAGTTTAATTTAATTAAAAAAGGTGTAGATTGACTCGTAGCCTAAGGTAACACCCGGTTCTTCACTTGTTGCTTTTAAAAAAAAAATATTAAAATGATTTTTTTATTCTTCAAACAAAAATGGAAGTCAGTCTAAGTTGACTTTTCCTACCTTTAGCTCGAGCTTTACTTTAACTCTCAGTAATGTTTGTGACTACTGGATTGAGGCACGTTTGATTGGGTTCTGACTCCTGCCACTCCTGTGGAATTCAAAAGTAAAAACATAAAGAGAGATTTTTCTTATAAAGTAAATGGGATATTTGCAAGATGAAGTGGAGATAGGAGGGGGTTTTTAACTAGTGTTCGACTACATGTGGTTCATTTTTATTCCATCCTTCAAAAAAAATATAAAAATATTAGAAAGTTAAAAAATTGATAATATTGGCCAAAAAAACATTTAAAGTATTTAAATATTCACTTATTAAATGACATAATTTTTCAAAAAAATTATCAAGATAGTAGGCATCGGATTAGCTTGAGCAAACTATAATTTACCTAAAAAACTTATGATGCAGGGTACAAGGTCATAATAAAACCATGTAATTCATATTGAATTAGGATATAAAACATAATGAATCAAATATTAAAAGTCATAGGTGAAAATAAATAAATAAAATAAAATAAAAAATAATCAGAGCAAACATGTGTTGGTGGTCAGCGTAAATATTGCAGGTCCAACCAAATATTTTCAAACATGAGAAAAAAAGTTCGAGCAATACTGGGATTTTTAAAAAGTAAAAAAAAATACAAGACTCAAGTCATTAAATTGATTGAGTTTAATAGGTTTTGTTAGTTTAATAACATATGTATCTATAAAAAAAAGACAACCATAATCTAATAATATGAAAAATCAAGCAGTTATGAGTGAATTTTTTAAATTCAAGCCCTATTAGGCAATTGAATGCAAAGTTGATAGCATTGTTTAGTAGTCGGACTCATAGCTTCCACTTTTCTTATTTATCTCCACCCCTCTTTTAAATCTATGTAAACTCTATTATAAAATTATAATAAAATCTAACCACACCATAAATTCATAAAAATTCAACGCAAAATAATACTAAATTACTAAGAGTAAAAACAAATATTCAATAGCATATTCGACTGTATCTCCTTGTAGATGGAAAACTCATCCAGATCTCTAAAAAATAGAGACCGAGAGTTGCTCTGCTATGTGTTAATGATGGTTTTCTATAAGAAACACACTAGCTCTTAACAGTGAGTCAATAACAATTTTTTTTTAAAAAAAAGAAAAAAACTACAAAAAAAACTTGCTACCAGTGTGTTGGACATTGTTATGTTATGCGTTATTTATGATGCTATTGTAGAAAATACTTCAGTTAAAAAATAGTGACTGTATAAATACATTCCATGTTTTTAACCAAACTTAAACATTATTACATTTGACAATAAAATTGTTATTGACTCGCTACGAAATGTGGATCCATATTATAGTTATTATATTATTATATAATGGTTATTTTTTCAAATAATGTTTTTAAAAAATAAATTGAGATAATATTTTTTTTATTTTTAAAAATTAATTTTTATATCATTACATGAAAATAATATAAAAACATCAGAACACATTACTTCGAATTAAAGAGAAAAATAATAATTGATTTTTTTTATTGACCTAATAGGACCGAGTCTAGGCTATGGAGCCAGACCCAACAACAATTTTTAACTAAACACGGAAAAGAAAATACCCCTCACAGGTGTTATAGTGTTGTCCACGGTGTAAATATTCTATGTTTACAGTGTGGTTCACAGTGCAATAAATATATGTCCACGTTAAATACATAGTATTTTTTTCACTTGTTTTAAAGAATAATATAATTTATTTTGTTTTTTAATAACTTATTTTCCTTTGAGATGTTTTCTAATTGATCACTTGGATTTAATTTTTTCTTTTTTTTTTTTTTTTTTTTTTTTTTTTTTTTTTTTTTTTTTTTTTT